TGGTTGTTTTTGCCTTTCTTTGTATCCTGAAAACTTGCCACAGTGCCTGTCACACAGAAGATACATCCCAAATATTTGTTGGCTAATTGTTGACTAATTAGGTTGCTGGACCTGGTTGGCTTGATTCATAAGGAATTCCTTAAAAAGAGGTTAGGGAGCCAGTGCAGTCCACAGAAGTCCATTTTGGGTGGACACCACACCCTTCCTTATACCTGGTCATTTGTACTGGATTATTACATTGTTCTAGGGATGGATGATTTGTCTCCCCCACCTCTTAAAAAAATGGCATGAGAAGGGAATGATTTAAAGAGCTCCAAACTTGGAATCAAAGAACCTGGGTTCAATTAATCAAGTGTTTATTGCACGTCCACTGTGGGCTAGGTTTTGGGGAAACAAAGACAAATGACAATCTCTGGCCTTAAGGTACTTATGTTCTGATCAAATTTGTAATTTAAATCCCAGTTGGGCTAACTACTACCTTGGACAATCTTTAACCTTTCTAGCCCTCAATTTCCTTGGCTGTAAAGTGAAAGGGTTTAACTAGATTAGGAGTTCTTAATGTGAGGTTAATGAACTTGGGGTTTTAAAAAATATTTTGGTAACTATTTCAATATAATTTGTTTCCTCTGTAACCGTATGTATTTCATTTTACACACTGAAAAAAATCAGTCTAAGAAGGGATCTATAGGCTTCACCAGACTGCCCAAGGGGTCCATGACACACAAAAGATTAAGAACTCCTTAGCTTGATGAACATGACCTTAAAGTCTCTTCCAACTCAAAATATTGTAAAGTCCTATTTCTTAAGGCCAAGGAAGAAAGGTATGCATGCATCCTTTACATGGGGGATTTTCCATAGAGTGCTGAACTTGGAGTCAGGAAGACCTGAGTTCAAATCCTACCTGTGATTTTTAAAAATTCACTATTGTTTCCCCCAGTATCCCTTCCCTTCCCCTCCCAGAGAGCCATCCCATATAATAAACAGTATTTTTTTAAATAAAAAAAGGAAGAAGAGGGAAAATCAGCGTAACCAATCAATACATTGAAAAAGTCTGAAAATATGGCCAACATAAGTGGGCCCTTCCACCTCTGTTAAGAGGTGCAGTGGGGATATCTTCCTATGTTTCTTCTTTCATGCCATGCTTGTTCTTTATCATTTTGCAACATACATTTTGAATTTTCTTTGTGGTTGTTCCTTCTATTAATGATGTAGTCATACGTACAGTGTTTTCTTGGCTCTTCAGTGCAGACAATTTCAGTCCTACCAACATTTTATTAAGGACTTATTCTGTGCTGCCATCGAGGACCTTACAAAACATGCATCCCTCAGAGATATGACAGGTTCAGTTCCAGACTGCCACAATAAAGGGGATATTGAAATAAAGCAAGTCATACAAATTTTTCAGTTTCTCAGTGTATATAAAAGTTATGCTTATACTATACAGTGGTCTATTAAGTGTGCAATAAAACAATTTACATACTTTAATTAAAAATACTTTATTGCTAAAAAATGTCAACCATCATCTGAACCTTCAGTGAGTCATAATCTTTTTGCTGTTAGAGGGTCTTGTCTTGACGTTGATGGCTACTGACTTATCAGGGTGGTAGCTGCTGAAAGTTGGGGTGGCTGCGGCAATTCATTAAAATGACAACCAAGTTTGCCAACTCAATTGACTTTTCTTTTCACATGAACACTTAGAGGCCCCTGTAGGGCTATTAATTACCCTAATTTCAAGAGAAGGAGATAGAGGGAGAATGACCAGTCAGTGGAGCAGTCAGAACACATACAACATTTATCAACTAAGTTTGCCATCTTATATGGGTGAGGTTCATGGTGCCTCAAAACAATTACAATAGTAATATCAAAGATCACTAATCACAGATCACCATAATACATAATAATACGAAAAAGGTGGGAAGTAGTATGAAAATTACCAAAATGTAACCCAGAAACATGATATGAGCACATGCTGTTGGAAAAATGCTACCAGCAGACTTGCTCAAGGCAAGGTTGCCTCAAATGTTCAATTTGTAAACAATGCAATATCCATGAAACACAATAAAGCAAAGCACAATAAAACGAGGTATGTCTGTACACCACAGGTTGTCTAAGACATGTACCCCAGTAAATATGATACAAAGCAGAATGTTGTATAGGTAAGGAAGAGAAATACAGAAAAGATGTTTTATAAAAATTGAAGGAAGAAATCACCTAAGAACATAGTATAAGAGCCTAGATTTAGAGCTTGATGTGATCTTAAAGACCATGTAGCCGAACCCTCCTCCCCTCCTTTAAAAAAAATTTTTTGTTTTTATTTATTTATTTATTCCCCCCCCCCCTTTTTTTAAATAAATGAGAGACATTAAGTAACTTGCTCATGGTCACATAGTTAGGAAGTGTCAAGAGCAGGATTTCAATCTAGGTCTTCCCAACTCTGGGTCCAGTGCTCTAACCAATACGCCATAGATCTGGACATTGAAGGAAGGGATGGATTTCAACAGGTAGAGATAAGGATCAATAGCCTAAGAGCATGGCTCTAAATCCAGAAGGTTCCTGAAAGACCACGAAGTCTGATTCCTTCATTTTACAGATGAGGAAACTGAGGCCCAGGGAGGTTGACTTGCCCAAGGTCACACAGGTAGTGACACATTTATGAAGTGACTTAAGGTAACCTTACCTTAAAGGTTGACTTTGTAAGCCAATCCACAAAAGCCTATTTGGGGCCTCCCCTTGGCAGAGCATCTATGGGCAAAAGCCATGGACACAGGATTTGTGGTCTGTTCTCATTAGTGGAAGTAAGGGCAGATACAGATTTGCCTCACTACAATCATGCTAAGTAGGTAGTAAAAATATTATTATCCCTCCTTTTATAGATGAGGATGTTGAAACTCTGGGAGTCTTATGTGACTTGCTCAAGATCATACAGTAACCTGTCTGAGATAGGATTTATACTCAGTTCTGATTCTGAATCCAGGATTCTATCTACAACAATTTGTTGTTAATTGTGTCTGACTCTTCATGATCCCATTTGGGGGTTTTCTGGCAAAGATACTGGAGTGGTTTGCCATTTCCTTCTCTAGCTCATTTGACAGATGAGTAAACTGAGGCAAACAGGGTTAAATGACTTGCCTAAGGTCACACAGCTAGTGTTTGAGGCCAGATTTGAACTTAGGTCTTCCTGACTCCAGGTCCAGTGCTCTATCCACTGCTTCAGACAATATTATTTCTGTGAGAGAGGAAAAGTTATGTTGAGCTCCAAATAGATAACTTATTATTGAACTTTGGGAACACAGAGGATCTGAGTAATACTTGTGTGACCTTAGGCAAATTTCTTCCTCTGTAAAGTGAAGGGATTGGACCAAGGTCCTGTCCATCTCAAGAGCTATGAGTTTATGTGGTCTTATACAATCCATTCAATTCTATTCATTGATCATTTAGGGAGGTATTCAGTGCTAATGGACCCACCTTTGTTCAAGGCACTGTGGCTATGGGGACACAGAGTTATTGGGGTTCAATGGAAAGGACTGAGGACTTGGATTTGAATCACAGATCTGCCACTCAGAAAGCTGTGTGAGACCTTGGGCAAGTCACTTAACCTCTGTGCCTCAGCTTCCTTATCTATAAAATGAGAAGGTTGGAACAGAAGGCTTTTAAGAAGTAAAAATTTTAAGACCTAAAAGCTCTAGATCTTTGATCTTTTGAATTCTCGACCTAAAGGAGCTTCCCATCTAGCTGACACTTCCCTCCGAGTCCACGTGAAAGGGATGAGACAGACACAAAGGTCAAATAACTCTTATTAGCAGTATTATTTATTGGGTGAAGAACTTAGACAAAAGTGATTTCGAAAGCTACTAAGAAGAGAGATCAATACCGGCTGGAGCAAATACAGAGAATACCACGGTGGGGAATGGAACTTGGCAAGGCAAAACTTGTCTGGGAGGAGATCATTAGGAAGAGGTCAGTATTTGGAGCTGGGAAGCTGGATCAGTCATCATGTATGCCTCTGAACTTTTGTCTCTTCCTCTGTAAAACGGGATTCAAAGTGCGCTACCTGTCTTGCAAGACTGTTTTAAGTGAAGCTCTCTTTTACCCTTAAAGTGTAGGAGTACAAGCTAATCCTCCTAATTGTGCTGCTTCTGCGTTGGTCAACTGGAGGAAGGGGAACAGAATTCAAACAAAACAGCCAAAAATTAGTTTTGTTTGGGGCAAGGGGAAGTGAACTGGGATTTCATTGATAGAGGGAACTCCCGGACCAGGAATCTCCTTCTACCAATGAAATGCTTTAGAGACTTACCTAGAGCACTTAACTGATAAGTGACTTGACCAGCGTCACACAGCCACTGCTGGAGGTGGGGGGAGAAAGTGGGAGTTGAACCCAGGTGTTCTCGGCTCTGACACCAACACTCTTTCCAGTAGCTTTTGAGATGTAATCGTTCTCCTGCCTCTGCCAATTACCTCTGTGTGACACTGGGAAAGTTACAGGACTTTCTGGGCCTCAGTTTCCTCACCTGTAACAGGGGGTCTCTGAGGTCCCTTACAACTTTAAATCTATGCTCTTGTGATTCCCGAGGGCTCTCCCAACATTCCCTAGTCGAGTAAAAACTGGAAAACTCCCAGCCTAGGCTCCACCTCCACCCAAGCCCAGACGCGTGGCCGGCCCACAGAGGGCGCAGAGGCTTCGGGGAAGCGGGCTCACGAGCTCGAGTGGGTGGGCAGGCGGGCGCGCGCTGGCGGGGACAGCCCAGGGCGCGGGCGCGCGCGCACCCCCGGGCCCCGGAGGTGTCGCGCTGCTGCGTGCGCGCGGCCCAGGTGTGGAGCAGGAGGAGGCGGAGGCGGAGGAGGCGGAGGCTGCGGGCCCAGCTGGGGCGGCCCCCTCGGAGGGAGGGGGAAGGAGGAGAGGAGAGGGCCAGCCAGGGGCGGGGCCGGGCCGGACCAGGGCGGGACCAGCCGCCGCTGTCTCCGTCTCGGTCTCCCGTCTCCCACAGCGCCCGGGCAGCCGCAGCGGGAGGAGCGGAAACTGCTGGGTCTGGGCTTTCTTCGGGGACGCCTCCGCCACGAACCGGGCCGCCCCGCCAGCGCATCCCCGGCCCTGCCCGCCTGAGTCCGGGCCGCTGCCAGGCGCGCTGCCCCCAAGCGGCCTCAGGTTCCCCCCCAGCCCAGCTCAGCCCGGTCCGGCCCGGCCCGCGCCTGCATCCTTGGCCGCCGGGATCCCACCTGTGCCGCCCGCGCCATGGCGGAGCAAGAGAGCCTCGAGTTCGGCAAGGCGGACTTCGTGCTCATGGACTCGGTCACTATGTCCGAGTTCATGGCCAACCTCCGGCTCAGGTAGGCGGGGGGGGAGGGGAGGGGAGGGAGGACGACCCCCTGCGAGGGCAGGATGCTCAGCGCCTGGCCCGGGCCGAGGAAGGGCGGGGGGAGTGGGAGGGGGCCGGACGCAGCTCCGGCGGCCCCGGCCCGAAGAGAGGGACCGGGCGGCTCCGCCGAGGGTATCCCCTAAGCTCAGGCAGCCCGTCGCGTCATTCCGGCTGGGAGGCGAGGATTCCCAGCGCGCTGTTTTCCGGGGCGTTGTCCGTTTTCGAAGTTGCTTTAAACTAAAGCGGACAAAGTCCCAGAGGTTGAAAGGAATGCTTCACGTACTTGCGGATACCAAGAGCAGCTGTCCAAGTTGAGCGATTTGTGTTTGTTTTTAACACAGGGGTTTTCCATAGTTTTAGTTTTTAAGGTGATTTACTCCGGACCTCATCATACTTACCGAAAGAGTCTCCGTGGACCCTGCCTCTCAGTGCTGAGGGCTGCTCCCTCCTTAAGACTCTAAGTTACAAAGATGGTGCCAGTCTGCATTGGTAGCTAAAGTTTCTTCAACCGAGTTCCCAGTGGCATTAGTAGCAGGCGTGTATAGAAGCACTCGAAGGTTTACAAAGCGCTTTTGCAGCTATTAGAGTTACCTAGGGGGATAATGAGAGGCAGGATGTGTAATCCATGTCATGTGTGTCGATGTCGTGTAATGGATAGGGCATTGAAGCTGGAGTCAGCCTCAGTGGGTTCAGATCCTGCCTCAGTCACTGACTAATATCCCATAGGTCCTCAAGTGCCGCACATCCGAAGTTTGGATTCAGTCAAAGAGCCACATTTGAGGACCTAGAGGGCTACCTGTGTCCTCGAGGCCCGCAGGTTCCCCATCCCTGGACTAGTCTTTCACACAACCCTGGACTAATCTGTTTGTACCTCAGCTGAGTGAGTAGGACTCAGTGGACTTTGAGGTCCCTTCCAACTCCAAATATGTGATTCTGTGATCTGTCTCCAAAGCAGGTGTTCTATTCCCTGTTGCTCTTCTGCTGCTCAGAACAAACTCATTCCCCCTTTTTACAGATGGGAAAACAGCCTGTGAGAAGCCACGTGACATAACCAAAGTTACACAGCATTTAAATGTCAGAGCCAGAATTGCAGCTGAAGCATCCTAACTCCAAGTTCGGCATTCTTTTCCATACACCATACTTTTTTTTTTATTAGAAGTATACTGAAATTTTCTTTTGAATGAAATTTTAAAGAGTAGAATTAGTGCTGAATGGAGATGCAGAGCATTGAAGTAGTTTGGACTTGGTTTTTATGTTACTCTGAATGAAGTTTCCATATATCTGAATTCTAATTTTTATAGTTTCTGGGTTCTTCCATTCCTTCAAAGGTGTATAGCCTGTAGCACATTATGACAGTCCATAAAATTGTGAAGTGTAAGGTCAAGATCCAAGTTTGTTCACTTGGAATTATAGATTTTACAGCTGGAAAGGATCTCAGAGATAATCATATCCAAACCCCTTATTTTACCAATGGGGAAACTGAGGCCCAAAGAGATCCTGAGATCTTCACTTTTGCTTTGTGACCAAAAACTTCACTTTTTGTAGTCTGTTGTAAAAAAAAAAATTCAATACTTTAATTCTTTGTAACAATTGTTAGCATAGCAGCTGAGGCTTTAAACACCCCATCTTTCTAAAATGTAAAACTTAAGTCTTCTTTACGAATTGTACCCAAGGTTGGGAGGCAGCATGATGGGTTGAAAAGGTAGCACTTCCTAGAAGTCTGAACACCTGGGTTCTAGTTCTCTAATAACTGCATTTTGAACTTGGATAAGACCCTGAACCTCAGCTTTCCCATTTGTAAAATAGAATAATACTTGTCTTGCCTTTGTCAGAAGGTTGTTTTGATAATCAGCTGAGATGCTGGCGCAAAAACCATCAAGTATTATTTTCATGTAAGCTTTTACTGTTATATCTAAAATCTATGATTCAAAATAGCATCCTTCTAATTTATTGAACATTACCTTCCTAGAAAGAGGGCTATATCTTGAAATTATGCAAATTGAATCTCCTTTTCCCTATTCCTCTTTCTCTCCATCCATACCTGGTTACCTGTTTTCAAGGAAATAGGAAACTCTTTCCAATGCAGATCCCCACCTTATCTAGTTTTAGAGAGTTGTCTGAGCCACTGAGAGGTTAGGTGACTTATTTTAGGCCCCACTGGCCTTCAAAAGGAGCTGCTTTTGATCTGAGTCTGACTCTCTATTCATCATATTATGCTGTCTTCTCTCATAGAAGAGGCTATAATAGGAGGCTATCCTGGTATGGGCCTGATGCTCAATTTTTTTTAATACAGTGGGCATAAATATCATCTTTAACAAACTGTACATGATATAACTACATGAAAGAGAGAGAACTAGGCCTCAAAGTGCAGAGAATGGGAGGTCAGCACTGGAGTAAAAAAAGACCTCAGTTTACCTCTGATTCCTTGGGCAAATTATTTAACCTCTAGGAACCACAAGCTATACAGTAGAAGTAACTATTCACATTTGGCTACCTTCTCATCTCCATAAAATCTTGAGAATGTTGTATCCATATGTTAAGAGTATTTTTGATCAGAAGATTTGAAAAAGGAGAGGCAGGCTTTCACACAGTGCCTGAAAGGTGTGAAATGTAAATAACTCTATTCTTTGTTTATAAAGAAGTATTTCATTCTTAAAGATTTTTCTCTGACAAGGTGTTTATCTCTATATAATGTATATGTATGGATATGTAATACACAATACATGTATGTGTATATGTATAATACACACATATATATAATGGTGAGGATAATAATAACATTTGTAGAGTGCTAATTCTGTGCCAGGTGCCATTCTAAGCACTTTACAATTACTCTCTCATTTGATCCTCACAACGACCCTGGGAGGTAGGGGCTGTTATTTTCATCCCTATTTACAGGAAACTGAGCCAAACAGAAGTTAAATGACTTGCCTGGGGTCACGCAGCTAGCAAATGTTGGAGGTCAGATTTGAACTTAAGTCTTCCTGGCCACTCCAGGCCCAGCATGCTATCCACAGTGCCACCTACCTGCCCAATGCATACGTGTGTACATGCATGTATATATGTCTGCATATGCATGTATAGATGTGTGCACATGCATGTATATATGTCTGCATATGCATGTATATGTGCACATATGTGCATATGCATACAAGCACATGTGCATACATGCTCGTATACACAGTTTGTGCACATGTAAGTATACTGTTATATGTACATATATTTGTGTGTGTTATACATGTATGTTGAAATCACATAGGGACAGCTAGGTGGCGCAGTGGATAGAGCACTGGCCTTGGAGTCAGGAGGACCTGAGTTCAAATCCGGCCTCAGACACTTGACACTTACTAGCTGTGTGACCCTGGGCAAGTCACTTAACTCCGATTGCCTTACCAAAAAAAAAAGGCAAAAGAAAAAAAAAGAAATCACATCATATTCCTTTGAAAGATACAACAAAAGAGATGGCTCTGTTCAAATTTTTGAATATCAAGGCAGCTAGATGCCTTAATACATCAACTGCAGGGCTTGGGGTCAGGAAGACCTCAGTTCAGATCCTGCCTCAGATACTTGCTAACTATATGACCCTGGGCTCGTCACCCAACCTCTCTACCTCAGGTTCCTCATCAATAAAATGAGCATTGTATTAGTACCTCGCTCCCAAACGTTGTGAGGGTTTGAAAGAAATAACATGAAAGCGTTTGGCAGACTTTAAAGTGCTACTAAGTGCTAGCTATTATTGATATCAAAGAAGGCATAAATCAGGGAGACAGAGAGCCATATCCTCAACCAAGCCATCTGCTACTGTCCTTGGTGGACGACCAGCCCAGAGTCCAAATGAAGAAGGATTCCGTCTGAGATAATATAACAGTAACTGACATTGATATGGTGCTGTCAAGTTTTCCGAACACTTGACACATATAACTTGCCTAACAACTCTGTGAGGTGTGTACTATAATATTATTATCACCCCATTTTACAAATGAGAAAACAGGCTGCCAAAGGTTAGGTGGCTTGCTTATGGCTACACAATACAGGAGATGGGATTTAAGCCCACATTTGTCCTAAACCCAATTTTAGCATTCTCCCTAGTATGTTATGGTGAGGTTGTCCACGTGCTCCTGTTTGTAGATGACATTACTTTGATTACATTGATTTCCAGAAGCTTAAGGAACCTCCTCTTTGAGATCCATAAGCATTCCAAAGACTTTGGTCTAACAAGTCACATAGGCAAAAAAAAGTGGACGATGATAATGGTACAGTTTGCTTTCAGTAGTAGAGATAACATGTTGTAGGAGATAGTCCACCAGCTTTGGAGTCAGAAAGATCTGGGTTCAAATCCTACTTTAGATACTTCCTACCTATGTGATCCTGGCAAGTCACTCCGTTTTCTCATCTGCAAATGAGGAAGTTGGACTCAGAGACCTCTGAAGTCCCTCTGGTTCTCAATCTAATGTTTCCGAGATCATCTGTGAGCTTGGAAGGAAGTCTTTAACAAAGTTCCCGCAGGGATCTGTGCTTGGCTCTGCCTGTGGTGTTAACATTTTTATCAGTATAAGATATTATTATTCGTAACCTGTGTATAGACTCAGATGATATGCTTATCAAATTGGCGTCACACACAAAGCTGGGAAGATTAGCTGACACCCTGGTTAACAGAATCTAAGAGGATGAAATTTAATAGGGATAAATTTTAAGTCCTTTGCTTTTTTCTTTAAATCAACTTTGCAGGTGGAAAGTGGGGAAGGTGTAGCTAGATAGACCATTTGAAAAAGATCTGGGGATTTCAGTGGACTACAAGCTCAGTATATGGTAGCATTGTGATGCAACAGCCACAAAAAACTAATGTAAGTCTCAAAATGCCTTAAGAAAAGTATAGTGTCCGAGGGTAGAGAGGTGATAGGCCTATAGCGGTTGGCCTATATCTAGAGTGTTGTGTTCAGTCCACCTTTTAGCGGTTTTTTTTATAGCTGC